TGTCAGACCTCTGGAAGGATGGGAACTGTCAGCCAGGGAGGTTGGTGGGGGGACAAGAGAGAGGGGCGAGGAGAGACGCATCTCCTGGAGGGTCCTTCTCACTGCCCCCAGATTCCCCAAAGGCTGCACACTTAACTAGCAGGCCCCAGGAAAACTGCCGCTGGACTCGAGCTCGGTTAGGGCCGGGTGGCGGGCACGGAGCGTGGCCGTGTGGTTCCACACACCAGGCCCTGACAGGCGGTCTGAGCGTCTGCTCAGGATGTGAAGTCACGCTTTTGTGGATGTGCCGTGGAGGAGCCTGCATTTCTGGCTTGCTTCCTGTTTCCCTAGGACACTTGGGACAGAGCTCGGGTCTTGGAAGAGCCAGCTGAGGGGCTGTTGCTGGTGGCCAGGCTGTGCCTGCCACTCATTCTTTTCATGAGTAGCGGGCATAGCACAGTGGAGATCGGGCTGAATGGGAGAAAGGCAGCCCCGTCTGGGTGGTAGTTTTATGGAAGATTTGAGGCCTTGTTTGCCATAGACGTGGCCTGACAAAGGTAGAAAATCCTGCAGTATGTGTTTCCCAGAATGACTGCTTACCCTTCACTGAGTGAGGTGGTGGGACTCTTTGAGGCTTGGCTTTCCTTTCTCTTGGTTTGATTTATATGAATGCTCCCTGCCACCTTCTGGCCACCCCGCCCCTTCTTCATGAACTTTCTTCGTGATTTCCATTCTTTTTTTTCCTTTGGATTTTTAAAAGTTATCTGCCCCAGGTAAATTCCTAAACTCTTCAGGCTCACTTTATTTTCCTCTGCAGCTTCCTTGTATTTCTTATATGATCTCAGCCCATGAACATTAATCAACAGAAAAGCAAATCCATCACTGTGGGTGCTGCCATTGATGTGCCACCCTGGCCTTTTGCCCCCACTGTCATCTTATTCTGTAAAGCGGGACTCAATTTCCCATAAGCAGAAGCAGAGTCTCTATTTAAATCCCACTTGCAAAGTCTGGGCAAGCTTCCTATTTATAGTAAAATCCTTTTTATAATGATCTCATATACGGTACCAGGAAATTGCTCGTGGCTGGGTCAGGCCATAGGCCAGTAAAGCCATGGTGTGAGCTTTACTTAAAAAAATTCCTTCATGAGCCTCTGGAATTCTCCAGAGAAGTGTCAAGTGTTTTTTGTCTTTTGTTTTTACAGCACATACGACAATACACAGGGTCATTGTGATAGGAACATTAAATTTAAGTTCAAAGGGAATTTCTGCTTTTATCAGGCCAACCTCAATTTTTATTGCTTTGGGATTCCTAAACAACATATTAAGTGAATCAAGTTCACTGAAGAGATTTATGAACTATTTTATATGCAAAGTATGGTCAGAAAAGTGTTTGCCTCTGGAATTCCCAGGAGGCAGAGAGCTGTGATTATCCTCCAGAGTCTCTGGGGACACAGACAACCTAGAGGTGAAGCCTGGAGCCAGCTCCCTAAGCTCTTTGGACTTCAGTTACTTCGTCTGTCCAATAGTCCCTCAGATAATTTTTTTGTAAGAATCAGTGAAATAACAAATGTAAAACATACAATGTAAGATCCACCAGTTTTGTAGTATAGTAAATGTTTGCTCCTTTTACTTCTCAAAAAGCAGTTGAACAAGAGAGAAGGTGAGTGAGCAGGGGCAACCTAGTGTCCCCTTCTCAAGAGACAACGAAGCATAAACTTACATAATTTTCTTGGATGTTTGCATGTAGGATGGTGTTTCACCTACCACAGTAGGGGCACAGTGTCCTTTTCCCAGCAACCCAGGGCACTCGGCCACCCACTCTTGTGTACTCTGGGAGTTAGACATGATACCAGGCCAGGTGACTGACCAGTCTCTGGACATGGACCAGTTCTGCTCTCTGAGGACTAAGGAAGCAAACCAGGCAGCGAATGATATTCAGGGCAACAGATAACTCTGCCCCAGGGAAAGAGCAAGCACAATACTCTGTCCCTGCTAGGAAGTCCCTGGGGTAGTATCGCTGTGCTGTCTACTTACATCTCTGCCATTCGTCTCACACATTGTTGTTAACTGTTTCCTGTGCACGGGACATGGAGGTGTTCCAGAGAGGTGTTAGACGTGGTCCCTGACCTGAAGGCGTAGATCATTTAACATGGGGAGAAGAGGCAGGTGCACACATGTATAAACAAGAGCGGCGGTCATGGCAGCAGAGTGCCCTCCCCAGCCTGACTCGTCATTTCTGGCTGGGGAATTGGGAGAGTTTCATGGGAGAAACCAATGCGAAGTACCAAAAGGTGGATGAAAACCGGATGCAAAGGCTATTGATGAGTCTGTTCCATGCCATTTTACCAAGATGGAAGAAAGCTTTGAGCTCACTATCATGAGAAAGTAGGAACTGAAGCAAAAAGGATTTTGCTGGAAATGAAGCATAACCATTCAGTATCACTTCCTGTGCTGGGTCATCGCTCTGCTAAAATGGAGCTACCCCTTCCCCATCCTTCTTACGTGTCACAACTGCACACACCAGGGCCTGCAAAGATTTTATTACCTTGTGACCCCTTTGGCCAGGCACTTTGGATGGCTAACAGCCAACACAAATATATGTGGGTTCCCTGTTCTAATTCAGTCTCCTCAGAAACTCCTCTTCATCAGAGGAATTAAGTTCTGTTCCTTTCGTCTTTTTATATAGGATCATTTTCTCCGTTACTGTCTGCCTTGATCTGCTAGATCATTTCTGATTTTTTTTTTTTTAATTACTTGAAGCACTGGAGTCTCTGACCCAACGGGACATTCTACCAATGGTCTGCTGGTGGTAAAAACTGGAAAGAATTATCTGGGAGTTCTTATACTCTATGTCCTATTTCATCCTTATAAATCACAAGTGATACAGTGGGCTGGAGAAAACCCACTTCTTTGGTTGCTTAAAGATTTTGTGAAAGGGGGAGAAATCTGACAAAAGAAAGTCTCTTAAGAGAACAGGAGACAAATGGTGAGATGGCTTCCTGAGAGTTTCAGGAAGATGATATACAGGAGATCATTGATTTTCATGCAGGAAGCACTGAAGTTGTGAGTGGCATCTCCACATTTGATATCTAATTCATACCAATCATGAAATTTAACTTCGGCTTATACTCTGCCCCTAAATTTAATATGCCCCCCTTTCTGTTCACCTTTTGATTCATTTCCATGATAGTCTCTTAGTGAGGAAACCCTGAGTTTATTTGCTTCCTAGACATGCCTGAGCTTGCTTAAGAGAGTTCTAAAAATGGTTGAGATGGCAGTTGAGAGAGAAGGGAGGAAGGGACTTCTGGATTTGGACAGTGAAAATTTTATAGGCAGAGTAAAATTTTTGCCGATGTACTGATTTTTAGAGATTTGCAAAACCATTCTGTATGACGTGCAGATGCCTTTGAGATAACAGACTGATGAAGAAAAGCGACACTTAGCAATCACAGGGTGTGGCCAGCTCCTCTCTCCGCCCCCAAACAGCCAACACTTTTCTTGCAGAGATTTGTCTGCCTCCCTGAAGATGAAAATCAATGGCTTGGAAACTGATTAAATCATTCAAATAGCAACTGATAAATGGATTAACCCACTATAATGTAATTCTGCAAGCTTTTGTCTTCTGCCTTTCCCAGGTAAGTTTTTCTATTCCTGGAGGCAAAGCAGAGGCATGGAGGAAGCGAAGGCCAGAGGGAATCATATTAAAGTGGGTGAATCCGTTTATCACTTACTGTCTGGATGGTATTTCTGCGCACATATCGCCTTCCTTTTACAGATTTGTACCCTACGGGACCCTGATTAATGTTAGCCAGTGAATAATGAAAGATAGCGGACATTGGGTAAAGCAAGGAGGAAGATACCTTCGTGGTTTAGGCTGATCCCTTAAATGGAGAGACTTTTCTTCCTATTACAAACCAGGGGTGTTGATGTGACAAAGAAATGTTCATAATAGGGATAGAAGAGCAGGAAAATGGAAGTATTGCTCTCCAGGCAAAGAACCTGTCCAAGGCCTTACACCCAGGCAATAGAAACTGAGCCTGATTTTGGTGCTCGAAGACATGTGCTGTTCTCACAAAGTTGTGTTTTCTAGCTCATGTCCCCAGATTTTTCTTTGCTTTTGTATAGGACTTTCATCATGGGGGGCAGGGTTTTGAGGGTCTTAAGCCTTAAGACATCCTCACTAACTCATTGTTCAGTCCACGCCGGCATGAGGCTCGGCTAAATGTCCAGTCTGATTCTAGGCACTTGGGCTCTGCTGATTAAACTAGTCCTGGGGACTTTCCATGACCAGTGAGTCTGGACTTCGGGAGATACAGCTGAACAAGAGTGAACACCTGCGTAGCCACCAAGATGTTCTTTTGAGTCCCCAAGAGCATCTTTAATGGCCTTTCTAGAAATGACCACCCTTCAATGAATGCTTCTTTGATTTCCTTTCCAGGGACAGTAGGAATAACTCCTAAAAAAGAGCGTCTTTCCCAAAGGCCAGGGCTAGGCATTGGTGTCTCTCTCTCTCTCTCTCTCTCTCTCTCTCCCCCCCCTCCTCTCTCCTCTCTCCTATCTCCTCTCTCTCTCTCTCTCTCTCCTCTCTCTCTCTCTCTCTCCTCTCTCCTCTCTCTCTCGTTGCACCACTGTTTATGACTGCCATCTGCTATTTGGGTCCTTGGCCCTATGAACTGGTTGTTCAGGGATGAGAGAGGTTCACTTGACCAGCAGGTCTTCTGGATGCTGTATTCATCAAGGGATGCAGTTGGAGGAGCAGGCTTGTTTCTATAAAAACTCTGAGCTGGCAAATCTTGTAAAAAAATCAAGCTAAACTTGAGGTGGCTTGCAAAACAATGGTACTGTTAAACCAGGCAGGGTCAAAAAGAAAACATCCCAAGTTTACAGTTTGGTTGTAACAAAACCTCAGATTCTAAACTTCCTATTCTTTCTGGAACAGATTTTGCCACACTGTGGGAGAAGAGGGACCAGTAGAAATTCATCTCAGCCTAAAATTGGATTTTTTAAAAAATATTTCCACAGCCCAGAAAGGACCGGATGGAACAGTCATTCCTAATAACTACTGTGACTTCTGCTTGGGGGGCTCTAACATGAACAAGAAGAGTGGGCGGCCTGAAGAGCTGGTGTCCTGCGCAGACTGTGGACGCTCTGGTGAGTGTGGCCCCTTCTTGCATCTGTGCCCATAGACCAGGGGCGGCTCCACCTGCATTCCCTGCCTCTTCTGTGAGGGTTGCAGGGTGGAGCGGGGAAGTCGGTGGTGGTGGTGATTTTAGGTGGAGAAGGGTTTTCAGGTTATTGGATATTTTTCTTCTTTGGGTCTGAAGAAACAAAACTCATGCCTTGGGATCCAGGGAAAAGGGAAAGGAGAAAACTTGGACTTGGTGTTTGGCCTTTTCATGAAGTGGGTATTTCTTTGTGTGTGTTGTTGTGGACGACCGTGAGCTAGTGTAGAAACACCTGGAGACCCAGGCAACATTCTTTCTGGTATCGGGTGATGTGCATGTAACAAAAAGATGTGTTTGTTCTGTGGAAGTGCCTGGGCCGTACCGAAAGAATATGGAAACGTAAATATTGGGAGAGCAGCCATGTCTTGAGTTGTGGGAGTCTGAGACCCCTGAGCTCCTGGGCAGTGGCATGAATACCACGTCCATTGCCACTCATCCTACTTCCTCATATGGAACAAAAAAAGAGACCCTGATAGATGGAGGCAAAAGGGCAAGTGTTCTTAGGGCAAGTCTGAAGTTTACTTGGCATGTTTTGAAATTTTCATCTTTAATCTATTTGAAGCCTAAAATAAAAAAAAAAAAGACTTTGATCTTCTTCCTTCATTCTTAAAATGAGTTCAGGTTTTCAAGTTTTGTTCAAGCTGTTTGTCTTTCAGTTCTAACCAAACCATTACTTTTGGCTGGTTGTGGTTGGTTGGGATTTTTTTTTTTTTTTTTTTTTAATGCCATAACAAGGCCAAAGAAAGGTTTTAGGCTCATGTTTAGTTTCATCAACTACTGACGTAGTAGGCGAAATACAGTTTATGTGGCGGGTGGTTCCAGCAGTGAGGAGTCGTTGCTCCTTTCCACACTCTGCCCTGTGTCTCCGCTGCTCTGAGTCCCAAGGACAGGACTGAGATGACCCCGCCTGGCTTCACTGTAGCAACTCAGTTCTCCCTTTGCTTTGTCCACAAACCTTAGCTTTAGTCCTTCTTTTTTAAAAAAAAATTATCTTTTGGGTTGTTTAGGGTTCAAGACTGACTTGAGTAGCAAATTAGTAATTGAAAAAGGACTGGTTTCCATTGCATGCAACTCTCTACATTTAACACTTAACGGCCCTGACAGGGCGGCCCATCTCTGCAATGATGTCTCCTCATTTACTTTTTAAACATGGTACCTAATGTTGAACTTTTTACTCTACTAGTTCTCACGTAGAAAAGAGGGCCCATGGGATAGTGGACTCTGGGTTTTAGATATTAAAAAGAAAGTGAAACAAATGAAATTCAATTCAGCGTTTTTAAAAAGTGAGCGATCCAGCAGAGGCAAAGTCACGTGATGTGCTACTCCAGGCAGAGCGACACGGACCACTGCGGGGCGCTAGCGAGGGCAGCTTCAGCGTCTCATTACCAACTGCTGTGATTTCCCCTTCCTTCCCTGCAGAGAACCAGGTATCTGAGCCTGACTCATGGGGGCCAGGCGTGGACAGTTGGGGTTTTTCTCTTTCCAAAGCCTCTTTCTTCACAGCCTTTACTCAGCCTTTTCTTCCCAGGATCTGTGTGCTCTGTGACTCAGGGGCCATTTTCTACCAGTCTAGGTGTTCTCATTATGTTTGCTAAGGATTAGTTTTGGTGGATAATTTAGTCAGGATCTGGCTCTGATTTTCCTGAAATAGTTGATACTTTGGGAATAAACACGTGGCATCAGCCCATGGGAAGCGCTTGGTAAGGCAGGGGCGAATACTTCTCTAGGGCCTCCCTGGGGTCCTTCTCAGGAAGAGTGTGGAGCTTGGAAGGGCTGCTTTCCACTCTGTCGCAATTCCTCTGTTTCCTGGGGAGAAAATAAAATCCCTGGTACCGGCACCATAAACGGCACATCATGGACCTACCTTATTTGGGAGCACTCTGGGCTCATTTAGAGTACAAAAGTTTAAACTTGAGTTTTACAGATTTCAGGACAGAAACCCTGTTTTTCACTTTGTTAGTGCTCTGAGTTGGATTTGACAATTCTGGACTTCCTGGGGAAACAAGGACCTGGGGGCGTTCAGTGGCTGGAGTGTGTGTGAGTGTGCGCACACGCATGCACGTGCACACGTACCTGAGTGCAGATCATAGTTATATCCTCCAGTGGGTAAAGGAAACGAGGGGCTCCTAATACCTACCATTTGTCAGACTTTCAACTTCTTTTTGCTTTCACTGCAAATGAACTACATGGTATAAGGGCAGAATTGAAAGGGTCCTGAAAGAATGGGATTAGGAACAGGAAAAAATAAAAATAAAATGGATGGAGGCTTAAGCACCTTGAACGGGCTCTCCGACAGTAATACCTTTGTAGAGCTGACTGTCAAAGTGAAGGACAGACATTGTACAAAGGAACACCAATGGGGAACAACAAAGAAATACCAGTCAGGCTTAAAAACCACCAAGTAAACTCTTTGGGGGTGGGGGCTGGAGTGAATGTGTGTGTGTGCGTACAGAAGGAAGAAGTGTCGCGGGTGAGTGTTTCACTGTCAGAGCTGTGGACGTATATATTGTGGTAGAGAGATGATCCCTCTTCAGGGAGGGATGAATCCTTTCCCCTGGAAATGCTGGCTTGTCCTTTACCCCAAATCCCTGTCGCCAGGTGATGCACCCGTTAATCTCTTTTGGTGTAAAATGGTTTATGATCTTGCTATGAAGAATAACATTGCGATAATATAATAAGAATATTAATAATGCTGTCTGTTGCTTAACCCATGTGCTGATATATTCATCATACATGTCAGCTCATTTGGGAGGAGAAGGCAGTAAGGAGAAGGAGGCAGCGGCCGCAGCACGCACCACGGAGGACTTATTCGGTTCCACGTCAGAAAGTGACACCTCAACTTTCCACGGCTTTGATGAGGACGATTTGGAAGAGCCTCACTCCTGCCGAGGACGCCGCAGTGGCCGGGGCTCACCCACAGCAGATAAAAAGGGCAGTTGCTAAACCCACGAACAGACTCTCTGGGGCAATTAGCCATCACCCTCTGACTTTGGTCATTGTTCTGGTTCTGATATATTTTTTTAAAATGAAAGACAACTTTAGGTTTTCTCTTCATCCTTGCTTTTTCCTCTTACCTTCCACGCACCCCTTCCCCCTTTCCTTCTGTTTTTTGAGTATGTACAGCAGAAGCACAAACTACTGAAACACAACAGAACAAAAGAGCCAAGGAGTCCTTCAGAGAGGTGGCATTGTGATGTACTATTTATTTTCCAGAGAAATGGGAGGTTAGGCGAATTATCTCTTTTTTTGGGGGGGAGGGGATCTTTTTGACATGAGCAGAGTTGATTTCCTCAGTTTTCCTATTTATTGGCAAAGTGAAGAGAGAAGGAATATTGGGGTTTGGAAACAACCAATTACATTAAATAAATTATTATTTATATATGCTGTTATTAGAAACTGACTTTTTTTTTTGAGAGAGCATGAAGGGAAATCAAAGAAATTGGAGTCATATCTGTTTAGCAGAAAGCCACTGGGGGGAGGATTGGTTCAAGGAGACCCCGTCGGGAGGATTTCCTCCATGGGAGATGGTTGCACTTTCTGTGCCCCCCACCCCCCGGCGTCTGTGGCTCCCCACGGCAGACCCCTCCCCATGCCTCATCCCCGACCTTTCCGTCTTCCTCCCTGCTTCCAAGAAAATGCCAGCAGTTTCTGAGAAGTTTGGGGCTGCTGTGCGTGGCCTCCCTCCAGCGCCTGGGCACCCCCCAGCAGTGCCTCCGGGGCTCCTCCTCTTCATCAGCACAGCCACTGTTTGGTGGGTGCTGGTTTTTCCTCACTTTCCTCCTGGTGAAGAGCAATTTCCAAATGCAGGAACGGAATCTGAGCAGAAAGTCACGGACTTGGCAGCGAGAAAACAACCCGAGGCTGCACATGTGGAAGAGAGAATGACACCTGAAGTGTATTTCCCTCCCCCCTCGCCCCTGTTTACAAACATATAAATTCCCGTTGGATGATCAAGTCTCCCGTATTTCTTCCATTTTTTTTATAGTGCCCCCCAGGCACTTTGTTTTATGTTTTCCAATAGCATCTCCTGAAATAAACCAAAGCAACACTTGCTCAAGGCCCCTGGGGCGATGGAGAAGACCATCCACCTTGTTGGCAGTCCCAAGAATGAACGGCTCTGCAGTCCTAGTCAAAAGGTATGTCTTGGCTGACCTGTCTTACCATGAGGGCAAAACCATCATAGTTGTTTATTTTCCCTTTTCTTTCTTTTCTTTTCTCCCCCCCCCCCCGCCCCCACCTTGTGTCTTGTTTTTCTGGGGGTGGGACCTCTCGTTAGTGTGGGAGGGGCTGCCGGGGCGCTTTCCCCCAGCCCTCTGCCTGTCTGTGTGCATGCACCCCCCGCGGGCCTGGGCCTAGTGTGAGGGCTGGAGCTTGTTCGGGGCTCTGTGCAGAGAATGGCTGGGGTGGTGGGGTGGTGGTTCTGGCTCCTGGCTCAAGCAGAAGAGGAAAAGGCTGGGGTAGTGCTTGGCTAACTGCCTTCATTGGCTACACCTGGAGGCGGGAGACCCTGGAACTGACTGGAGTTGGCTGCTGAACTTGTGTAGGAGTGAGGGGACATGGCCACAGGGAGACTGCGTGTATAGGCTGATGTTTCTTGCTCCAGGTACCAATTTAACAGCTTAAGGAATGCGTCCAAATTAAAGCAGACCTCCAATTAGGCACAGCAGTCAACTGAGCCGCCTGAAGATTCCAAACTCCCACCAAGTGTGGTCAGGTTCTTTGGCCTCCCTGAGAACACAGGTCCAGAGACATGGGCACTGCTGTTTGGCTTGGGTCGGGAGATGAGAGAGGCCACCCAGGGAACAGGCTGCTTTTAAGTGTCTGGGAAGATCTGTTTTGACAATCCAGCCGTTGCAGATCCTCACGCATTAGACCTCTTGTTACAGTAACCAGCCAACCAAACAAAAGTGGGGACCAAGCAAAGAAAACCCATGGGCCCTTCATGCTTTTCTGGGAGCCTGAGACAGGAAGGGTCTCCTGCTTCAAATGCACAAGTGCTCGCTTGGGCGTTTGCTCTCCATTGTGAGAGAATGAAAGTGACAACCTCACCCACTTTTGGAATGTTCTGCCTAATGTGTATGTGGCCCTGTTCCTAGGCAATATGGCATAAACCTCCCAACATTTAATATTCCTGCATGCGCACATGTGTGAAAAGCCAATATAGTTGGTTCCACTTGGTTTCTGCTAAGGGGATGGAGCCTGCCCTTGCTGTCACTCTCCACCTCTTTACTTCGTCTGTTCTGTTACTTTGATTCAGATATTGGCGTCATGGCATTATGACTTCCTCTCGCTGAAATGGGAGCTTCCGTGTTAATAAAAAACATGTCTGACCAATCTGTACTAACATTTGAAATCTGTCCAGTTTTTTTAGTCCTGAAATTCTCAATGACAGCCTACTTTTAAACTTGAAAACAATTTTAGATCTCTATAATTAAAAATTATGAAAACCCACCTAATTTCAGATCCTAGCTTGGAGTCCTAAAAGGGACTAAAGAATAAGGAATTGTTTAAACAAGGCAAACTCCCATGGGAAGATTTATCTGAGGATGGCTAGTGCTTTCATGTGTTTTATTTTTATTACCTTAAGTCGATCTTCTTTTCTCCTGTCCATGACAGCAGATGTCCTGGTGTTGCTCAGTTGGTGTCACAATGTGTGCATAGGAATACATCTAAGCATTGCCCGAGCACCTTGTTTCACTTTGCTCAGAGTATACAGACTCAGAATTTACATCCTTCTAGAAAAAGAGCTGGAAGAGGCTTTCGAGATGATCAAGTTCAAATCTTTAGTTTTCCAGTTGATGGAGATCAACTCAGAGATGATAAGTGGGTGAAGTTTGCTTGCTTTGCAGGCAAACGTCTTAAGGTCAAAGAAGGAAACTTGGAGACATGGCAGGAGGAAGCTGGCTGTTCTGAGTTTCCAGCTATCTTGCCGGTTGATGCTATATTTTTATCCCCCTTTGTCTATATAACGATAGCCAGCATTTATGTTCCAGGCAATGTTCTGAGTCCTTTACCTAGAATGGTTTATTTAATCCTCATGGCTACCCTATGAGGTAGGTGTTAATATTATTCCCACTTACAGATGAGGAAAATGAGGCTTAGTAATAAGGTTAAGAAATGTACCTAAGGCCTCACAGCTAATGCAGAGTTGAGTTTTGATCCCTAGCAACCTGACTCCAGGGCCTCCTATATGCTTTACTTACACTAACATTGTTTTGCCTTTGCATATTCCTACATATTGGATATAGGAATATAATATTCCTATATATGTAATACATATAGGAATACAAAACATTTTTATGTAAACTTTTATTATAAAAGAGACATAGAAATTATTTGCATGATGAAAGATTTCAGAACTTCTGTGGATACCATTTCAATAGTGATTTGTTTCAGATTACATACAAGAATGTCACCATCTCTAAATAAGAAAGAATCCTTGCTATCTAGACCTACTTTGGTGCCTCTATATTCTAGAAGAACTTTATCTCCAACTTTTACACTAACTGGTTGATTCTCTTCGTATTTTCCATTAGATCCCTACCCAGCAGCTACTAATATTGGTTGCAGTACCTTTTCTTGAGATTTTTCTGGAAGCATAACGCCTCCATCGACTGTAGTTACAGCTGCACTTTCAATTAATACTTGGTCAAATGGGGAAGATATGTGTGTATATATCTCCCTTGATTTTTCTCAGGTCCAGTTGAAGAAAGAGGTGTTTGTAATGAATATACAAGTAGCTTTAAGTGGTAACCTTATTAAAGGATTAGAAGAGTAAGCAATTAGATCCCCAAAAGAAAAATTCCAATTAAAATTCTGTATAGAATGTTACAGAAAGCTTGACTTCTAAACCATCATTTCTAGACATTCCATTCTGATGCCCATTAGGAACAAGGGTCCCCTTTTTCTGTGACCTCTGGAATTGCAGCAGCTGTGTGCGCAGCCAGCACATCTGTTGTTGTTGCTTTTGTTAAGTAAGCATCACTACTCAAAATTTAACACAAATTAGAGCCTTGAAGATGAAAATTATTGAACTAGTTTCCTTTGTCCTCTGCTCAGTAAAGCACCCACCCAAAATGCATAATGCTCTAGAAATGTTATTTAATTTTCTGAATCCTAGACCAAAGATAGGACAATCAAAGATACAGGACTTTCTAAATTTGTTACAACATTCACATCCCCTGGGGGGAACTGTTGATGAAAAGGTGATTATGGTTGTTGTCTATCTGATGTTTTTTTCCTACTTAGAGCAATCTAATCCTTTATTTCTGTTATCGAGACCATGGAGAGATCAGTCCCTCTAATCACTGTAACACTGGGATTGAGAAATAAGCATTTCATTTTCTAAAGGTACTTTAAAGTCAGTAAGGCAATTTGCTACTGGTATTTTAGAGAGAAGGATTCAATAAAACTAAGATGTTCCCATCAATAGTATCCCTATTTAAGTCTTCCTGCTTACTTTGCATCTCTCTATGTACCTAATGGGCTGCAGCCTGATGCTGCCTTTATATAGCACTTGAGGGAACACAAGATCATTACTCGAGGAGAGAACTAAAGGCTGTTTGGTGGTTCTCACTTCATGGTGGAGTAAAATTAATTAATATTATCCCAATATGCCTCCTGTTACATTAGATGAATATGATCTTGAACTTGTACTTAAAGTTTGAGTAGGCTCATGTATTAGGCATTTTTCCATAGGGGATTTTCTTTACCTTTGCAAGTGATTTTACTTGTGTAATTCCTGAGTGAGACATTTTTGATCTAGTGACTAGAAACCTAGAGGAGAAATTAAAAGTTCTGGGCTTGGTCTCAATCCCTGTGTGATTTTTGCCATGCAGCCCTGCCTCAGTTTCTCTATTCCTAGAATACAGATATTTCTTACCCTGTCCTAACATCTAACCAGCATTCTTTCATGATGATTCTTAAAGCAACCCTGTGAGTTAGGATAGATGCTATTTGTTCTCATTTTACTGATGAGGAAACTGAGATTCGATCAGGTTGTAACAGGGTACGTGGTGTCTGGGTCTTCTAATACTCTTTTCTCAGTCTATACTGACCTCTCCATAGATCACATTTCAAAAATTTCTTGAGTAAAATCAGTAAAGGCCTTTGAGATCTTTCATTCAAGACTTTATTGGATTGCGAGGCGCTATTTGATGCTGTAAAAACAAAACAACTCTAAGTCCAACCTGTAAATCACATTAGAATCCTGCTAAGGAGTAGCAATATCTAAGTCCTCATGCTTCCAAAGAACTAAGGTTGAGCTTTATAGATGATCGTTGTTTTGGTGGTGACATTGGGGTGACAGTGGGGGCGAGAGTAGTGAAGTGGCAGGGGGTGGAAATACTTCAGGCCCCATTTTGGTCACATGCCTAAGTGCTCCTAACACTAAAACATTGACTTACCTGATACTGTTGTGCTTAAGGAAAGTGATGTCTAACCATTTACTCAAAATAGCAGTATAGGAAAAATCATTCTGCTTGATTGATTGACACAATAGCTGAAAATGATGGAAGATCCCTGTCACAATTGAATTATTAGCTAAAAAGCATTAGCAAGTAGGTTTTCAGAGTATCTCAATACTAGTCCTCAACCAATGACTAAGACTTAAGATTTTTAAGCTACTTTTGAAATAATTTCTACAAAAAACTTAACACAAATACTATAAAGAATTTCCATAGACTCTTCATCTAGATTCTTCAAATAACCATAATGCCATGATCATAATCAGGAAATTAGCACTGACGCAATACTACAAGCAACAGAACTTACTCAGGTTTTGCCAGTTGTCTATGTTCTTTTTCTGGTCTGGGATCCAGCCCAGGTTCACCTGTTCTTTTTAGTTGTCATATCCCCCTAAAGTCCTTTAATCTTTGTATAACTTTGATACTTTCAAAGAGTACTGGCTGATCATTTCATAGAAAGTCTTTTATTTTAGGTTTGTGTGCTGTTTTCTAATGATTAAAATCAGGTAATAAAATTTTGATAAGAATACTACAGAAATGATGTTGCATTCTTCTCAGTACATCATACCAGGGTGTACAGGATTGCTTTATGCCATTACTGGTGGCTCAGACATTTGGCTTTTCAGCTTAGGTTCTGGCTAGTGTGTTTATAGACCTTGGATGATAATACTTTCATTCGTATGTGCCTTTGTTTATTTGTCAAGTAGGACCTGGGTAACAGCAGTCTGTATACGACTGCTCAGCCCTGTGAAGGGTAGGATGAAATGAAACTTGGGGCCAATGGATTAATTGTCCAATAGATTTATTTGTAATCTAATTGGGAAGACTACATAGTCAAAGTAGTTAAAATGTGTAAGGGCATCGTGTGGTAATAATGTGATTTTTTTTTGCTGTGGACCAAAGTAGTCAGGGAGATTTTCTTAGAGGAGCTATCGAGATCATCAAAGTCTTCTAGATTGACTATTGCTATTTAATCTGTAGAGAAGAATGTCTCTTGTCAGAGAGAATGGAAGTGAAGCTGAACAAAAGGCAAAGCCAGGATTTACAACCTGAATGATGTAAAATGGCAAAAATCACAATGTGAAAACATGCTTAAGTATTGCTCTGTAGCATTTTGTTCATGCCACCAGTAGAGTGTTTATTACAATGCACGAAGATTGTAGCCTTTCTCATGAAACAGATGATGTGTTCCTTGAGGGCAAAGATGATGTCATTCATGTCCCTCAGACAGTGCCCAACAGCAATGCACCGTAGTTATTTATTGAAATAAAGTGAGGATTGAGCAGTGTTTCTGGGCTAATTAGTGGAAGGATTTAATTCAATAAATATTGCTGACAGCAAGTTTGGGGAGGCCACACATACCTGGACACAGTATCACGTTGGTCGAGTCAGAGGGATAGATGAGACCCAGAGGCGACGAAGTGTGCTGAGTGGAGAAGGAGGGAGAATGAGGGTGTGAGGACAGGGGTGACGGCCCAGTTGAAGATGTGTGGAGGGATGGAAAGTCAGCCTTCTTGAAAGGGACTGAGAGCAGAAGACCAAGAACTTGCCATTGGCTCCACCAAAAGAAATGAAAGAGGAAGTGGATAGTAGGAGCACAAAGCTGGGAACCAACCAGCTATTTTCTAGGTGGCTTAGATTGGCAAAAGAAGAAAAGTGTGCATCTGTGTGTGTACACATATGTTGGGGTCAGTGGTGGAAATCTGAGGAAATTGCGAGAGTATGGGTGCGTGGTTATTAGGCAGACTCACTGAAAGGATGGCAGGTGATGTCTGACCAGAGGGGTTGGAGCTTTGGGAGAGGGTGAGAAAGACTCCTGAAAAGGGGTACAATTCTGACTGGATGTCCAGAAAGAGCACTCCTCATGCAGTGTGGAAGGTCTGAAGAAAGGCCCAACTGGTTTTATCAGTGGAGTGAGCGGGCTGGATGCAGATAGGATAGCAAAGAGAAGAATACTAAGGAAGAGGATGGGAGACCAAACAAGCAGATCTGTGAAGGGAGACAGTGGGATGGGATGGGGTGGGATGGGATGAAGGGGAAACACGGACAGTGGTGAGGGGAGGCCTAGGTGGTTCTCAGCCTGCCTTTGACAACATAAGTAGACAGTCTCAGCATCGGAAGTCCATCTAACCCAGCCCTGCATGCCTGAGCAGCGTGTAGTAGTACCTTGGGTACTAGAAGGAGAGGTGGGGGGTGGCAGGTTTCAGCTTGGAAGAGGCTATGCTGCTCATTGGATTTTGAACTTTGTTCCCTTTCCGCTCGGCCATTTTCCCGTTGAGTTGCTCTCCCTGTCCTCTCTCCCTTGCCACTGCACGCAGTCCAGTGTGAGCTGGGCGCTGTGCAGGCACCCATGTCTGCCCATAGGAAGTGCTTCTGTGATGAAATGTGATAGTACTTGGTTTTATTGCTTACTCTTTTGTGCTGGCTACTCCATTCCAAAGACTGAAATAACATAGATTTCATTTCAGAAGCAAAATCCATGCCTGGTTGGTACCCAGCCAGACTAAAGGACCCACCCGGTTTGAACTGCCACCGGATTCCAAGTCTGACACTTAAAATTCCTGAGCTAGTTGAGGACTTGAGTGGACCTCTTGGCTTGGTTGTTTCTCCGAGTAATTCAGACTCCCTCGACTCACTTGGGACGTTGTTTTGGGTGAGGGTGTGTGCATGAAGCAGTATCCTTTTGGCCTTGGGCCAAATGGGGCATCGGTTGGGAGGTTCTGTGACTGAAACTTATCTGATACCACAGCACTCCTCATTTCTACTTAGATGACAGGAAGATAGATTGCATTGTAATGGCCTTCCTAGGGTATTTTAACAGTGAACAGATTTAGTTTGTTTGGTTTCCAAGTGGAGGAGAAAATAAAAAGATTTTGCTAACCCCCAGTTCTGCCCACTACACCACCATGGAATTAAAAATCCAGCTACGTCGTCTCTGACTCTTGTGCCATTCAGTGGCCAGTGGCAATTGACCTGCCCTGTTCCTGGCTGATACTGTGCGGCTGATGGTCAAGGCACAGTAAACACAAGTCTGGTTTTCGTCCTTAGTGTGGCAATTAGTTGGTTGTTTTCTTTTTAATTCATTTCATTTCCACTACCCCCTTAATTTTATTCTTTCCCTTTTAGGTAGTTGTCCTGTGCTGTTTTTTGTTTTATCTTTCGTTGCCTTTCCCTCTGCAGTCAACTCTATGACCTGGGGACTCCGGCATCCTTCAAGCAAGCCATTTCCGAAGAAGGTGAAAAGAAGGCTCGATGATTTGCACCTCCTCCTCCTCCTCCTCCTCCTTCTCTTCCTTTTTCCTTGCCCGGCCCCTTCCTGCACGTGTGTTTCAGCCAACAGAGGAGCTTGGATTGTGGAAAAGCCTCCAGCGCAACTCAGCTCAGAAGAGTCTCGGGAATGGCCTAAGTTTGTGCAATACGAAGATTTCTTTTTTTTCCTTTTAAAAATTCTCCATTACATTTTCTTTAAATGTCTTGAGAAAGTATCCAGGTCAGACTGGAATTGCTCTACAATAGAAATAACTGAAAACAAACTGTTGGATTAAAAAAAAAAAGTTAACTATTTTATTTATTTCAATATATAAGAGAAAAAAAGTGCTGATGTGGCATAATATTTTTATTTAAAGTACCTTCTACTTCAAAAGTGAAAAGAGATTTTGTGAAGACATGAAGTCAAAAGAGTACTTAATGTAAAATAAAGACTGCATAATAACTCTAAAGAAAAATACCCCACATTTTTAATAAGAAAATAAAGCTCAACTCTGCTTTCTCAGGCTTTACAAAAAGCCATTCATATATGTGCTTTAGGTATTTTGTTTCTGCAAGTTGGATGTGGTAAGTGAGGAGTGGTCCGTTTTATTTATTTTTTCTTCTTCAAAAGTTTATCAAAAGTGTGGTGATATTCAATGATTGTGCTAAGCCTTGACCGAAATAAATTAGCCACAAAGGCCATCGGCAGCCTCTCTGCCCCGCCCCTCCGAAACCCTCTCTCATCCCCGCAAGGCAAGCCCCGTTTGTCAGAATGTCAAGATGCAGCCTGCCTCCTGGTTATCATGTCTGACAAGGCCTAGTTCTGAAAGGAATTCCATCTAGTGATTAAACATATCTCTACGAATTCAGCAGATTTGAACACAAACGCCTTTGTTTAAAATAATGCAGTGTCCTGGCTGGGGTGGCTCAGTGGATTGAACACCGACTTATGAACCAAAAGGTCACCGGTTCAATTCCCAGTCAGGACACATGCCCACATTGTCAGCCCGGTCCCCAGCTGGGGGTGTGTGAGAGGCAAACAGTTGATGTATCTCTTGCACATCGGTGCTTCTCTCTCTTTCTCCTTTTCCCTCTCCAAAAATAAAATAAAATATGCACTGAAGGAAAAGGGGGGAAAAAGACAACAAATTTGCATCAGCTTGAGATGATACGAACTTGGTCTCCTAACAAGTCCTAGAGGAAACTTGAAAGGGAACCTTCTGCTACATGGGCTTCGGAGACCGGAGACCTGAGTGTTCCCAAGGGCCAGGAAGGCCAGCCTGAGTGATGGAATCAGATGCAGATGCTGGCGGGGGTAAAGGAGAAAGGCGAGTGCTCTAATGTCCTTTTATAGCCACCATGCTAGTGGAAGTGAATGTTGTGGCCTCCGGAATGTAATTCAACATATATCTGCGGCCTGATGAAGGAGCTGGTTTGACTGGCTGGGGCACTGGGTTTTACTCGAGGCCTTTTACACTGCCATTCTCATGGGTTTCATTCACTTCTAAGCAGTCATATTAATAAATATGCAATCTCACGCCAGCATTCTTGTCAGTAAAAGTGCTTGAGTGACAGTGTTCCTGAAACGGTTTTGAGCCTGAGAATCTCTCTCTTGCCTTTGGAGGAGGAGCCTGGATGGGCACCCATGTCCCACCAGCCCTTTCAGGTTTCTCATTCAAGGCCAGGCATCAAAGGCGAGACCCCTAAGAGTGTTTGTATCGTTTTCTAGCCCTTGACGGTGACGTTTTCTGATAGGAAACATCTCTTTAAAAAATGCTAATAATTAAAACAACAATTCGCTCTACAACCAAGTCCCGCAAGTTATGTGTAGAATTCTGATAAAGCTTTGCATAATACAGGGTTTGTATCAAGTTTATGTAAGTTTTTGTTAAATAAAAGCCTATTTCCAATGCTCCTATAGCATCTCTGTAAACTTTGCTTTACCAGCTTCATCCTGCATGAGGTTGTCTTTCATACTGTCCTATTGAAGAGACTCCTGAAAGGATTCTTCCCACTTGCTTGCCTGGGATTTGTTGAACCCTTTTGTTTTATTTAGAAGCACAGTCTTAGAACCGTGGTTGGCACTGGTTTGACTGACAGGTGGTGATGGCGTGGAAAGTGAACAGTGCCCAGGGTTGGTGCCAGCATTTTCTCTCGAGTCCAGAGTTGCTGTCACCAGCCCACCATCCCCATGGCCGTCACCTTCTCCGTGGCCAAAAGAGACATGGAGAGCGCAGTAGAATGTACAGATGTAATGTGCCGTCTCCATGGCCAGAAGAGACTTACGGAGAGCCCAGTTATGTACACATGTAATGTACCTGTCCAACATTGTTGTCACACTATTGCCAAGAGTAGTTCTGCACACGAATGCAAGATTTAATGTGTGTTTGGAAAATGTTGATGGGTTAATGTTTCCATTTCCTGAATGGTGCTTTTGATGTAGCCTCCCCAAGCTGCCAGTTGGGTTAGCCGTAAGCTAGCCCCCATGTGACAGACTTACAGTGGAGGTGGGCACTCTGCTGGAATGGGTCTCCTTGGTCAGGTAGAGCCAAATCAACTCTTTAAGCAGATCTTGCTCTGTAAGCATTGCCAGCCCACGGTAGGGTCAGGTGGAGACTGAACACGTCCTTGTGCTGCTGCTGCTGCTGCTGCTGCTGCTGCTGCTGCTAGTGTGCCACGTCTTCTTTTAGAATGATCGTCACATGTTGACATTCATTATGGACATTGTAAGTTTCCCTAAGCAGTAAAAAGAATTGAAGAACTTTTTTCTTCAATATATACCCTCCTTAGGCTTTTTTTTTTATTGCGGTAAAATATGCATTACATAAAATTTATCATTAACCATTTTTAAATGTACAATTCAGTGGCATAAAGTACATTTCACGTTCTACAACCATTACCACCATCCATCTCTAGAACTTTTTTATCTTCTCCAATGGAAACTCTGTACTCATTCCTCCCGTTTGTCTTTCAAGTATTTTACATCTTATATGCATCTTATTTCAGAGGACACTTTGTAAGAGAGTCAGATGTAAGAGAGTCAGACCACATTTTATGCAAAGCAGTATGCAAAGACTACTCTCTTGGGTCAGGGCTATGTTTTAATTTTCTGTTGGGGTGGGGAGGAGGTTATTCTGAAGAAGCAGTTTATTTTCCTTGAATGACAAAGGGGTCTGCAAACTCTGAAAAGACCCAAGTAGTAAATCCTTCAGGCTTTGCAGTCCAGATAGTCTGTTGTGATTACTCAGGTCTGGGGTTTTAGCATGGAAGTAGCTAGCCTTAGTGTATGAATGAAGGGGCATGGTTCTATATTTCAGTAAGACTTTACAAAAATAGGCAGCTGGCCAGATTTGGCCCACATGCCATAGTTTGGGGATCCCTGATTTAGAACTAGTGAGTAATATTCAAGGCATTTCTAGGCCTCAGGACTGAGGAAAGAGAAGAATTTCCCTTCACCAAGTGTAGGGCCGGAGGGGCACTTCATGATCAGTAAAGTAAGTTGTATTGAAACCTATATGCAAAAATATTTCAGAGCCAAAAAAAATTCTACCACAAAATTTTAGAAAGCTATTTGGTTTTCTGGTTTGGATGCTAAGTCCAAACTACAATAGTCCAGTCCTTACCAAAGAATCTAAATAATCTAGCTAGTCTGTGCGCTAGCCATAAGTAATAGTAGCTCTCTGAGGACATGATGACTAATACCGGTCACCTCTAGCAACTTGTGTATGAAACAAGGCAAACTTTAAAACAGTTGAGTTGGTGCAAACGGCTACTATGAGCTAGGTGAACACAGTAGAATTCCATCTGCATGACATAAATAATGGACGTTTAGTGGAGCCCAACTTGGAGGTAATGGAGTTTTGTGGTTAAAGAAGTAGTCTCTTTCTGGTGACTACTGATTCTGCAAGAGCTGTGGCTCCCTGAAATTAAGTATGGAGTAGGTATTGAGGATTTGCTGAGCTGCATTTCTTCCTAAGAACTCAGATGTGAGTGGGTGTATTTAGAATAAGGACTTACCTTAACCATCTACCTCATACCCAAAAGAACCAGTAGAAGTAATTTTCCCCCTTGGATGGTGGGCAGGAGTCCTGATGCTGGACCTACTACTGAATTGAAACCTTCCCAGTTGAATATGGGATGATCCTGAAGAGTAGTAGCCTATGAGCTGGTTGTGCTAGGTGGCAGCAGCCATGACAAATTTATTTTTAAAAAATACCCTCTTTAGCCATTACTAGAGGATGCTCAGTTGTTTGGAGAAGTTCAGTAACCTTTTAGATCTCAGGGTACCTTTAGTGGAGTTTATGGCCAAGTTCCCCGAGTTATCTCTCAAGTTTCCTTAAAAGGGGCAGTGGTTGGGGTCAGTATTCTGTCTACTCCGTTTGCTCCAACCTGCAATCACATCTGAGTTGCCCAGATGTCAATTTTTAGGCAAAGACTAGGAAGAGAAAGATCCTTTGGACCAAAAGTTAGAAAATCCTGTTTTGTATTTTACATAAATCTTGTGTGAGCAGCACAATCCCTTGGCTACCTGACCCTGGCACCAGAACAGGAAGTACTTTGTTGGAAGGTAATAGCGGTCATCAAAGGTTTAGCACTGACCTGGTAGGTACAATTATGTTGACAGTGCTATTCGTGATGACCTGGCAGGGCATAATCATAGCTGAGGTGGACCCGAAGTTCTAGGGAGTCCTAGTGGAACACTAGCAGAAGGAGTATGATGGTGTATGCTTTAAAGTAAGCATGACACCAGGCTGTGTTACGCTGAGAATACAGTAGAAGGACAGGGAGGTACTTCACTCCTATTTAATATTTGACACCACCATGTTTGAGTTAGCTGAAAATAATTGTGAAAAACCCAGAAAGTACAGAAAAGATTAGTAAACAACATGTTTGAAGGGATGAACAAGAAGCCCTTTAAGAAATTTTAAAGGATTTGGGTTGTTTAATTTAGGAAAGAGAATTAGGGGTCACTTAACTCATTATGTGTATTGAGAAAAATGCACCGAGTAGTTGGTTCTGGTCTCCAGAGAAGGCAGGAGAAGCATCTTGGGGCTTAGAGCAAACTGACAAACAGTTCTTTTGACATCAACAATGTTTGACTATTAAGGCGGATAAGGAACTCAACTGATAACCAAGCATTTTTCCTGCATGGAGTTAGGAGCATGG